CAGGAATTAACGCTATGGAAATGGACCTATTTTCTGTGATAGATAGCTGGAAGAATCTTCATATCCACTTGAAGGCAAAGTAGTTACACACACTTTTCAGAGATAGTAAGATATTTATTTTTGTCTGGAATCTATAACCTAAAACTCCTTTTTAAACCTGCGTACCTATTTCAGAGAGGATTTTGTATAGACAGTCTCACACATGCAGTATGTGGTCTTTATAATTTATAAAGAAAACTGATGTTAGAGTGTGGGTCTGGAAGAGTTAATTGCTTCTTCACAGATTTCCTGCATGAATGAGGTTGTATCTGCAGACTGTTTAGATTACCCACAAATGTATTGTCGTTAATTTTTTACATTGATTGTGGTGAGGCAGTGGAACAGGTTGCCCAGCGAAGTTGTGGATGCCCCATCCCTGGAAGTGTTCAAGACCAGGTTGGATGAGACTTTGAGCAACCTGGTATAGTGGAAGGTGTCCCTGCCCATGGCAAGGGGTTGGAACTAGATGATCTTTGAGGTCCCTTCCAACCCAAACCATTCTAGGATTCTGTGATGTGATTTTGTGTGTCTCTGTATGCTGACTGTTGGTGTAGAAGCCAGTCTTGAGTTTATGGCAAATCTTTCATGCAAGGCAAAGGTTGTGTTAGGAACAGCAGAATGGGATCAATCAAAGCCAGCACACTAGCTAGAAAGGTGCGTGAGCCAGCCAGTGGATGATATAGTCAGCCCTTCCATCTCCTGGACTCAGGGTCTCAGAATACGTTCCTTCAAAGGACAGAAGGAGGCTTATTTCTTTCACGTAAAGAATGAGACAGAAGGAGACACAACTGTAGCTAAATCACTCCTCATGTGCAGGAGGCATTGATTCTATACCTTTAGTTTGAAAGATATCAGTCTTACAGCCCGTACTTTCCAGGACAGCATGATAACCATGAATCTATGGATGCTAGGGGATGAAACTGTCAGTTCAACATGTTGAAGCACAAATAGGCTTAGAAGTACAAGATTCAGGTGACAGAGAAGTTACGGAGTGAGATAGAATCATAATTTTTTATCCTAGTGGCCAGTCACTGAGTGGTATAAGCACTTCAATCACATTTCCAGGAACTTTCTATATGGTTTATAAAATAAAAGCTTCCATGTAAAATTTGGCAAGGCTCAGATCTTCCTTCTCCCTGATGAGTGTCATATGTGAAGCTGCTTGTGGATTCATTTCTGTAGGGCAGTAAATCTTCAGGAAGAAAGGTGAAGCCTGTTCCATAATAGACAGTAGCCTGGAAGTTAGAATACTACCCTTGGAAGTTCAAAATTTGGATTTGAATCCTGTTCAGCTAAGGAGATCCTAGAGCTATGTGCCACATCTTGGGTAGAAGATGTAGATACAAAAATATTATAGAAAGAGAAGGAAAAGAGCAGTTCTTTCTGCTCTAGCTATATTTTTTTTTTTTTTTTTTGAAAGAATGGGTGTAAATTTGATGTACTGTGATCAAGTTTGCCAGTTACGGTGTCTCAAGAGAAGAGTGCTATTTAAGAGCTCTTGAGTGGTCTTTGGTGAGAAAGGTGCTGCATTGTTCAGCTCCACTGAGACAGGATCAGCACTGGTCATACACACAAACAAGAATTTATGTGTCTGGAAACTTTACTAGCAGCAACTTATGACAGTTAAAGACTTTGCAGACAATGAGGTTAGATGCGCATGCTGTGTTGAAGATTGTCCTTCCTGGTTTCAGGTACCTGATTTGTGGGTCTCAACTTCTTGCTCTAAATTTTCTACCTGTGAAGGGAACATGGGTTTGTTCTAAGGATAAATGTTTTAAGATCATGAAATATTCACATCCAGTGGTGCTATAGACCGCACAGAAATTCCTGAATCCCTTCATCTCACTGAAAAGATTCACTTTCAGTGCAGGATTAAGGGTTTAATGGGAATGTCAGTGCATATCCATATCCTCCTTTAAATAGAACTGGCTGAAGAAGGACAATATGATCTGAAATAGATTACAATTGGGAAAAAAAATAGATTAATTTAAAAACTAGGGGGAAACAAAGACATTTTTATGCAAGTTAAAGCCAATCAAGAGAGCTTTTTGTGCTGAAATGCTTTGCATAAATGTGTGTTCTGGTCATTACAATGGTAACCGCATGGTGTGGAACTTAAGTTACCTCTAAGTTACTGAAATTTATTGAAGGAGCACATACAGGCAGCATCTTCTTACTGTAGAAAAAGCATAATATTCTATTCGGGATGCTGGTACTTATTACCAAAGATAAGAGTTCTAAGAGCACAGGACACAGAAAAAAATGGGTCCAAGGAAACAAGAAAATTTTCACAATATAACTGTGGTTATTAAATAGCTTTAGGTGCAATGTTGGCTTCAATGCATATGTCCTGACAAGTTCTTTCTGTACCATTTGGCCTGTCAGTGGAAAACCTTCTTACGAATGAGGGTCATCACTTTAATATATTCAATCAAAATCCTTTGTTCTGTGCAGAAAACTTGACCCTTCCCACACAATTTTGTGTGAAATACAAAAGCTACACTTACAGTGAAAATAGTTATAAGTGAACACCTTGGTATTTAATTTGTATCTATTTATTGGCTTCTTAAGCTTTACAGAGGCACAAATCCAGTAACAAGATATACACAGGTAAATTCATACCTTGGATTTTTAGTGCATAAACCTAAGGCTTACATTTGCTAACAGAGTTAAGTGAGAGTTTACTGAGCAAAACTATCTTTGTCCTGTTCCTCTTTCTGTTAAGCCTTGTCTTCCCCTTCCATGCCATGAGCTGGTATCTCATGTGTTTCTAGCATAGGGCTCAGATGTCTTTCTAGCTTAAGAGAGCTGGAAAGAGGTGGTCCCACTGAAGGGGACGAAAGAGCATGCAGCCACAGCCTCCAAGTGCAACAGTGAGGAAGATGCATCTCCATGGCATGACTGATGTCAGTGTGGAGATACAGGGAAGGAAGAGACAGAGAGCAAAGCTCACCACTTTGAAATACTGAATTTTCAAGATGAGGTATGACAAGCATTTCTTTACTAATTATTATTAGTGGATGAATAAGAGCAAAAATTCTAGTCTAGAAAGCACATTTTGTGATGGGAAGTGAGAAACAAAATCATCACCACATAAAGGGTACTCCTCTTTCCTTGGGAAAACAGTATAACAGCTCAGTGCACCCTTCCAAATTCTGCATTTTACTTGTGTCATGTGTGTTTTATCTCTAGATTGTCACTGTTGTCCTTCAAATCTGTCAGTCATGAGGAAGTCTTGCATCTCGTATCATCAGGATATATCCTCTTTTCCTTTAAGCAAGAAATGTAAATGGATTTTTTTTTTTTGAAAGAAAGAGGCATATTATTAAAGAGTTAGTACAGAAGATAACATTTCTCCCTATTGTCCTTGTTTGTTTGATTTGTCGCATATCAGAAGGAACTAAGTTGCTGAAATATGAGCACACTGTGAAGAAAAGTAATGTGACTAAGGTGTGGCATAGCAATGATGTTTTCAGTTCAGTTGCCTCCTTGAAAATTCAATAAAATTGTTTTATTGTACTATTTTTAGGAATCTCATTCACTTAAGTGGCTGATCATTTCTGTATATATGACCACATATGTTGTCAAAATTTCACATGTTGGGTGCCTTCTCACATGAAATTCATCCCTGCTGTTCATATTACGGACTCTTTGGCATACTTGTGTAGAAAAATTACAGAATATATAGTAGCAGTGCTATGCTGAACTAAGAGATTTTTTTTTTCCTACTTCTTTCTCATGGTTCCCACCTCCTTTTTCTCCCCCTTTCTCCTCCCTCTCTTCTCCCTCCTGCCTTACTCCTTCAGTCCCCCCAGCTCATAGTCGTGTTCAGAGTGTCCCTACAGAAATGCTGCAAGCTGCATATGAACCAAGTCCAGACAGCACTAGCCACTGAACTGGCAATGTCTGCCAGCTCATGGTACAAGGTTGTCTCATTCTCTTACTTCTGCTGCTTTTACCTCAAGCGACAGCAGCTATGAAGGCTTTATGCTCCCTTGTCTAATGTGTCAGACAAGTCCCAGAGAAAATTGCAAAGGGTTTTGTGTTGATGATATTTGCTGCTATCTTCAAGTTTTGTGCTATATTACTAAATATAAAAAAAAAAAAAACAGGAATTTTTTTTCTTTACCCATCAATTATTTTGTTTTAAGTTGAGAAAAAATGAACACTGGTTCAAATAAATCATTATAATAGATTTGTGTTAGCTTTCTTCAGCAATTCTCTGTATTCCTTAAACATTTATGTGCTTTCCAATTATAGCAATATTTTACTTGTCACCGCAAAATGTCAGGTTATTGCTTCAAAGGTAACCTCATTTTATATAATCAGATGGAGACTTAGCTGATGTAATAAAGCATTGGAGATTGGATAAAATTCCAATTACTGTTTCCATAGTAATGGATAACAATTACTAACATAACAAAGATGTTAGTATTTTAGAAGTGTTCGTACTTTCTTTTACTTCTAATGATAAACACACCAGTTTCTTGGAGACAAAATGATAATAACACTACTGAGAGTTTTTATTTCCTTTCAAGAGAGGATGCCAAGATGTATCATTTAATTTTAAAAATTAATCACAGAATGTTAGGGATTAGAAGGGACCTCAAAGGATCATCTAGACCAATCCACCTGCCGGAGCAGGACCACCTAGACCAGATCACACAAGAATGCGTCCAGGTGGGTTTTGAACATCTCCATAGAAGGAGACTCCACAACCTCTCCGGGCAGCCTGTTCCAGTGTTCTGTTACCCTTACTGTGAAGAAGTTCTTCCTCATGTTTAAGCAGAACCTCCTGTGTTCCAGCTTATATCCATTTCCCCTTGTCCTATCATTGGATGCCACTGAGAAGAGCCTGGCTCCATCCTCATGGCAGTCACCCTTTACATATTTATAAACGTTAATGAGGTCCAATTGTATAACCAAGTTTATAAGTTCCTTAAAATATGTTTAAAAATAATCTGGTTTTAGGCAAATAGCACTGATCCCATTACAAGAAGTCAACCTTGGCTATATGCAGCTGAGAGGGAACTACAGCAGGATGTTTCTGAAAAATGAAAGGAAATAGTAGCATAATAGCAAACAAAAATGCTGACCTCTCATTATTTTTTAAATTTCATTGTCATGATCTAACAAAGCTTGCAACACAAACTAAGCTTCACATCACTTTAAAATCAGATAGAAAAAGATGTTATTAATCAGGTTATTGGAAAACAAATGTCTTTACAGTCTTAGTTTCATAACATACCATCTGGTATCACAGATATTATCTATGATGGGTTAAATAACAGACTCCATCTGCTTTTTAAAAGTGTTTTCACTGGTTATAAGTAACCAGAGAGAAAGAAAAAAATGATGCATTTACAAATGCAGTTAAAAAAATCTGTTTGCTTGTACACTTACACAGTAAGATTGTTCTAAATCTCTTGTTTTACTTGATCCATTTACTGACTTGTTTAACTGTCCGTTCTTTTTTTAGGTTGGCATAGTACTACATTATTCTACTCTCTCTACTATGCTATGGATTGGAGTAACTGCCAGGAATATTTATAAGCAAGTCACAAAAAAACCTCAGCCATGCCAAAACAGTGACCAACCTTCTTATCCAAAGCAACCGCTACTCAGGTATGGAATATATATACAACACTTCTTTTTTCTTTTAAATGTGTTCCTGAAACATAAGAATTTTAAACAAACTCTTACTTTTATTTCTGTTTTCTTTACTTTTTATAGACTACAAATAGGTTCCATAAAGAATTGAGTGGTTTAAGTGTATATAAAAATATGAATATTTATTGTATGCTAATAGTTAACTCTACTCAGGAGATGAAAATATGCAGAACTGGTATTGGCGAGTTTCAGATACCTTTATGTCAAGAGGAACAATTCAAATGTTCCTGTTGGTTTCTTATGAAGGAAAAAATCCTGGCTTGCTTCTGAGTTAAGGCATTATTTAATCATCAGAAACTACACTATAATGACTCTCCCTTTAGCCTTATCTATTCTGCTGTAAATCTTGCCCACACTTGTATTGATTGCCTAGTAACCTGATGGCAACTTTCCTCATTCCACGCCAGAGATTCAATGCTATTACAGGACTAACTGAAAGTCTGGACTCCCTATCAGCTTTCTAGATGGAGCAGACTAACATGTCTCTGACAACATGGCAGTTGTAATGCAGTAAGAATTTTAACCGGATGGCTATGAGATGCTGAAACTTCAAGCCAAAAGATTCACTCTGCATAGAGGAAAAAAAAAACAAACAAAAAAACCAAACCCACAAAAAACATACAAAAAACCCAAAAAAAAACCACACACACAAAAAACATACAAAACAAAAAAAAATTACTACAAACTAGGGTTTCTGACCAGGGGCATGAGAAGATGAATTCATCTTTTTTGACTTCAGCTATCAAAAGTTTAGGTATTAGCCAATGTTATCTAGTGTCCCGGTATAGATTTTGGAAGGAGTCTGAGACAGAGAGGAACTTGCAGAGAACACTTCCTCCCATCTGTCTTGGATATTTGTGTGAGGACAGAATGAATTGTCTTATGGAGTAGCCTCTCTCTTCCCATAGTTCACCTGAATTGTCAGTTTTGAGTAAAGACCTCAGTTTTGTGATGAAGGACAAGAAATACAAATTCTACTTTTTACGGCTTTGCTTTGAAAAATACAGATTAGTCTATTCTTTTAAACAGACTTAATTTATTTTGAACACAAAATGTTTATTAAATAGCATTTATAGATGGCTGTATGAGGTTGTCACGACTTGTTAAAAGTCTATAGGAAGATGAATTGTGTTTTGCTGTCTGACTGCTGAGTGAAATCTTTATTAACATGATTAGTTTTCTGCTTTTTAAAACATTTTCTTTCTAGAGATGAAATTGATTAAAGTTAACATAAAAATTGTATTGTAGAGAGAAGAGCCATATTGAACGTTAGCTTTGTTAGGAGTAAGCAAGAGGACATACTTTCACTGAGAGTGCCTGACTTTGCTAATCCATGATTTACTGTACCATTCTTCACAGACGAGAATTTCACTCTTTCAGTTAGTAGCTCATGGCAAAATGAATAATCGCCAATTTTCAAATGCTGCAGTGTAGCTATTAAGGTAGATAATTGTTGCAGGTTACATGGACCCAGCATAGTGTATATCCTTCAAATTCAAATCTTGTTTGAGTTGGAAAACAATAGACAATCAGGTTACAGAAAAGATTACTCTAATTAGAATCTTTGTTATACCAGTCATGTTGAGGTTCTCCAACAGTGAAAATAAACAGTAGATAGTTTAAGTTTAGCAATAGAAATGATAAACCTTTTAGCTGTAAGAGAACATGAGTATAATTGTTTAATAGCTAAGTAAAATGATTCTAGGTTATTTTTCTCACTCAGGGCACAATATGTCCTAGAGACACAGGCACTGAAACGTCTAATATGGTTTCATCATGGTTAGCGCTAGATTCAAAGTAGTAAGGATCAATTTCATTTCATGTAGAAAATGAGCATAGTATATGGAAAATTAAAAATCGCTTTAAGCAGGAAAATGCCAAACTCATAATTAGTAGTTGTTGTTCTTTTGAAATATAATGATAATTTTTATGGGCATTTCAACTTTTCTGGTTTTAATAAAACTAAAATCAGAATTATTCTGTATCATAATATTTCCATAAAATACATTTAAGATGCTTATATTTCAGTGTAGTCATTTATTAGAAATGTTTTAACTAGAGTGTGTTCTTGTATCTATAAGCTGATACCAGCTTTTATACTTATTGTGCCTCAGGTACGTAAGAGGTAATATCGCAGTTTGTCCAGGTCTGGGTTTGGATGAGGGAGTAATTTTTTTCTCCATTTGACACCAGTAGGTAGCTAAAGGATACAGAGATTGATGAAATGAGGGTTGAGTTAAGATTTCTTATACGTCAGGACCATCAGTGCTAGGAAGCATATAATATGGTCTGTGAGATGTTTTCAAGCAGGAAGCAGTTTGTCAGTAATTCCTGTCCGTAGACCTAGTTTGACTTGTGTTCAGGTTTTGTTAAACACAAATGTATGAATGTGTTTGGCAAGAAACGTACGCTTTGCTGTTCTCCTTTGATCTTTTCTGATAATGGATGTATATGATAGACTGGGTTTCTGGTTCACATATGAGTCTTTTTGTATTCCTTGTGTATGTGCTTGCTATATGAGGCATAAGGATATCTTTTGTGAGTCAGTGAGTGGGGACTGCTGCCAAAAATCAGTACGTAAATCTATGACATGGAATTTACCAGGAAATGATAAAAATTCTCTCACTACATTTCTTTCAAGAAGCTTGATCCACTCTAGTAGCTCAAATAGTGAAAATAAATACCAAAATATCTAAAAGGAAGTCATAACTGTGAGTAAAAAAGAATGTTTGCTTGTAATAGTTGCTTTAGTTTCTCTGCCTGGTATTTGCATATTCATTTGCAGAAGTAAGACAAATGAGGTACACTTGATCTTTTCCTCCTAGTTTTTCTTGAGCTGTGGCAAGATGTATCCTATTAAGTAAAATTGTGATTCTCTATTAGTTTTCTCTGTTCTAGATACAGTGATGATCAAAGTTGAAATCTGTCTGCAGTGTGATTTTGCCGAAACCTGTTCTTCATGGCAATGTGATTTTAAATATTGCCTCTCTTAATACATTAATCATATATTAAACAATACATTATATATGTTATATGTGATAAACTACATATTTTATTATATATGTTATAGATTATATATATTGTCTGATAATTATAGAGTTAAAGCTTTCAAGGGCCTATCACTTTGATGACTGCAACCAACTGTGACAATACTGCCATTTTTCACTAAATGTGCCTGGATGCTAATGAGGTGAATCAAATTAATGCATCATTGCATTTTGTGTACTGAAATGCTGAACCCTAGCACTTCAACAGATAATGAAATTACTTCCTGTAAAATATACTCTCTGATATTTGTAATAAATATTTTTTTTTCATTATCAAATTCATTATCAAATGATATTTGAAATAAGTAATACCATCTTCTGTGGACATTTGTTAAACCTGGCCAAGCTTGGCTTCTGACTCATCTGAAGTCAGATTTTCCAGCAAAGACAAAGGGGCGAGCAAGATTCAGCTATTACTTGCAATGCATAAAACTTCTTATCAGCCCAAGCTGAGGCACAGCTAGTATTAGTTTTTGTAACTGATATGTGCATGCATTTTTCATGTGATGCTCTGTGCAAATACAGATTATACAGGAGTACAGACCAAGCAGAAAATATTTCTGAAAAATATTCTTTTTAAATCATTCCTTTCCAGGAAGAGAGAAAAAAAATGGACTACTATCATTTTAAGAAGTTAGCTACTGAGCACTATAAACATTTAAAAGAAAAAATAAATAAGCTGCCAGCTGGGCCAGAAATTGATGTTAAGGAGACATAATTAAGTTACTTTTCATCTCAGAGTTAGGTACAAATATGTGTCCTAATTTCCTCCATCCTTTCTTATTCAATGAACATCTTGCAAGGTAACTAATATGGCAAACTTCAGATTACAGAGAGTCCAGTATTCTATGTCTGTCATGAAAAACATCAAAATGAATAAATAAGGATGCAGAATTATGCAAAGTGGATAACAGGTGATGTTGCTGTCTCTGCGAACTTCACCTTCTTTGTTATGTCATGTATCTGATAAGCTTTTTAAAAGGTTCTTACTAAAATTGTGAGGTTTCTAGGAAAAGTACCTCATGCAATGCCTTAGAAGAATTGCATATCTAGCTGTAGAAGCAATTTAGGAATGGATCGTGTGTCTTTCCCTTTGTATAAAAAGTAATAGGCTTAGTACTGTGGCTATTAAAGATGAGCATAGAGAATTTTGGGAAGATCATAACTCAGGCAAACTAAATCAGTTTTCAGCAGCACACTCAGAGGACTCACAGTCAATACCACTGGCTTCAACTGTTGTTTTCAACTTTAAATAGTTTTAAAAGTCGAGAATAATTTTTAGAATGAGAAAGCTGTTTGCATATTTCATATATATTTTTTAATGTCTTAACTGTTTTATAGAAACTGTCCTTTAACTTGCATACAGAGCAGACCTAGAAATAGTAGATAGGAACTGAAGTGGTTCAGTTGAACTGTAATATCTGCTAATGGATGTGTACATGCATATATATTTGTGTGTGTGTTTGCTATTCTATGTGAGATTGTATATGGGCAAGTATCTGTACATCATTCCTACACTTCCAGAGTACTGAGTGACATCTTAAAAGTAGCAGCAACAGAGGTCTTCCTTGTGGGCTGTGTTTGTGGTGTAGCGATGACTAACAGCCTACACCCTGATCACATGGATGTGCAAGTGCTCTACTTGCATCCTCCCCCTCTCCTGTGAATGTGGCAGCAGCTCTTCACAATCATTCCCCAGCTGCTTATTTCTCTCAGCTACCTAAACGTGAAACATGAAACAGTAGTACCTAGCTAAACAGCAGCTAAGTATCTTTGTGACACTGAATTACGTTGAATTCTTTCACTGCAAAAAGGAGAAACCATGCTAAACTTTCAAATCCAGGAAAACCCTCTCCTTTGGTTTTTGTCAACCAATCCTGCAATGAGCCTCTTGCCTGCGGTGAGGAGATTTTACAGACTTACATGGTACCACAGGGGTCATGGCATCTGCTTAATGCGTTGCTCACAAGGTTAACCCTGCTTGTCTTCGGATGAACATTTAGACGCCTAATCAGAATTCTCACAAGCTGGAAACCATCTCATGGGCACAAATGGGTCTACTGCTCTGTATGCTGCATTTGCCTAACTGCAGATCCCAAGAGCGCCTGGCCGGAAGTCTTGTGACTTCCATCACAAATTGGTGTTGCAGCAATTTTTACTGAATAAGTTACCAATAAAGCAGGCTATTTTCTGAATTTGAGTTGCACACAACAATATTCGCGATGTTGAAAATTGGCACATGGTGTTTTTGCACCATAATGGAAGTAGTAAAAACACTCCAGTTATTAAGACTAAAAACTTCTTATATTTAGCTTTTTAAGGAATAATTATGTCCTTTACCAGAGAAAAACCCTAGAATAAAAAAAACTTAGAGGTTTCTAATATTCCTAAGGTTGAAAGGGTCTTCAGAAAATTATCTTTGTTACTCTCAGGGTCCAGAAAATTTCTCCTATCAGTTATAACAAGTTGGCTATAATTTATTGCATAATAGCAGTGTAACAGGGGATCAAAATTTGCCCATAATAACAAATTCTCTATTAAACGTCGAGTTTGCCAAATATGTTTTGTCATTTTCTTGGCCATGTTTCTTTTCTGGATCTTGAGTGTGAATCATATGAAGCAACTTAATTTACATTCTGACAGGCACAGGCATTACTTGTCCCCTTGACACCAGCAGCTCTGAAAAGCAGTTAAGTTCTAGTGCATTTTTCATTAGCACTGCTCTCATGAATTCATGTCTTCTGGTATCAAACAATGATTGAAAGAGAGCGAGAGAGAAAGGGGTCAACTGAAAAGCATCAATTACAGTCCATTGTTTTCTTCTTTACGATATGCCCTTAAATATTAATTCATCTAATCTTGATCCATGGAAGCCCATTTTTCCTTCCCCCAGTGAACATCCCAAACCTCCTCTATAAAATTTAAATTTAGACCGGATTATCCTAAGGGATTATCTACGTATTTCTTAACTCTCTGTAGTTTGTATATGTTCAAATAAATGGGAAATGCCACAGGGCAGAATTCTCTAAAGCCCTGAAGAGATCTCTGTAGTTCACTCTTTATTGTCAGAACAGACACAGTTCTGTCACTGGAGAGTAAGTGAAAGTGATGTCTCCTTGTGAGTGAGGTTTTCACTAGTTGGATGGACCATGGTACAGTACGCCAACAGTCTCACTGAAAATCTGCTATGCCATGCTCAAGAAAGTGAGCTATAACTTAAATACTCGATTGCATCCTTTGCTTAGAGGATGGAATATTTTGATGTGGACAGGGTCAGTCATCAAGAAGTTGTAACTAATGTCCTAGGTATTATCAGCAATGCTTCTTATTTTAGTTATTGGAAGTTAAGACTAGAAAATTGTCTTTTCCAATGTATATTTTTAGATCATTTTCAAATTGTGCTCTAATTAGTTTAATTCATTATTGAACAATGCATGTTTTTTTACAATCCTCATATATTTGCAAGACTGCTTATAGCTTCAATACCATAAGTTCCTAAAGAGAACATAGTGTGTAACAGCTGTTTTCATACATATTATCTGCAAATCACTATTCCCTTGTAACTTGTTTCAATGTTAATCGTATTTCCCAGGAAGGAGAAAGGCCATATCGCTGAAATACCATTTTGTAAATTTTTGCATTTGATAAAAATTGAACATAAGAGAAGCCATGTTTTCCTTCCAGATACTGTTTTAGTTTTATTTACTGAAATAAGGCATATATTCAACATCAAAATAAGCTAGTGTACTATTATAGTGGATATTAAAATAATCTAAGGATAAGAGCCATTTTAAAGTTTTAGTTTGGTTTAATTATAGAACTAATCTTTTGAACAATGCTGTATTCTGAAGACAGTTTTAATAACTCTGACTTTCAAAAATGGCACAACACAACTAATGATACAACAGTACCATCAGAAACGCTGATCTTATCAGTCAGACTGTACTGTGTCTTATCAGCCTACTAATTTAAGCAAGTTCTCAAAAAAAAAAAAAACCACCACCCCCCCCAAAAAAAACCAAACACAACAAACAAAAAAGAATTGTAATGCTGGGACCTTAGCCAGAATGACAAGCCAGATTCTGGGACCTGAGGTATAAAAGCTAGAGACAGAAAAAAAAAAAAAGAGAACCCTAAGAACAAAACAGGCTGTTTAAGTCCATTCATCGTGAATCAGATGGAGAGAGAGGGTTGCAGAACCTGAAGGTGCTTGGAAGTTGGTTTGATACTTTAGGGACAAATTGATATTATAAGCTATTTAACGTGATCACTCTTAAAAGGCTGATATATGGTTAGACGGAGTCATGGATTATAGCCAGAGCCATTTTATTGCTAGCTAACAATGTAACTGAAAGATCTGCAGTGGAAAAGGGTAGAAAACGGGGACAAGGGAAACATTTTCATTAATTCTTCTTATTCAATTTCAGCCTGAAGCTAAATGCATTTCCATCACATGGGGGAAAATTATCTTAGGTCAAAGAAAATGTTTAATTCAGCTTTGAATTAATTGTTCCACATATGAACATTTTCAGTAAAAACAAAACATTAAAATATTAAGTAGCAATATAGTGCAGACAGCATTGGATTGCCAGTGTATGGTGCCATAGCGTGGATGTATTTTTCTACCTACTCTCAATCAAACAGAAGTGATTAGAACTTTACTGCTCCACCGTCAAGGTGACTGAATTATTGTGTTATTAACAGCAAGATGGTAGCAGAGCCACCTGGTTTACTTCTAGTTTCACTTCATCAGGCTTGTGAATCAAGCCTCAAACTTGAAGTATTTCGAAAGTTTGCTCTCATTTTCTAGTTGGCAAAATTATTCTTCAAATCTGACCTGAATGCACTATTAAATACTTTAAGTGAATAATGCCTGGAACAGAGGATCCTCCTTGATTTGATCTTATTTCAAGACTGTTACAATCAAAGTAGAAAAAGTATTTTGTTACTGCCATAACTTCATTAGCCGAAGTACAGGTGGGATACACACAACGTGAACACTTTCCAGAGTAGAAATCAAATGATACCAAATATTTTAGAGATGTTGAGGTAGAAGGTGAAGTTTGATCCTCTTTGAGCAGTGTCTGAGCTACTTAGTATAGCTGAAAATAAATTATTTATTATTATTGCAAAATAAAAGTATGTCTATTTATTACTTGTAAAAAAGCTATTAAACAGCATAGCAAGTCACATATCAAGATCCATTCAACTGAA